TTCAGGCACTCTGTGTCGCTTGTTTATAGTTTCTCTTCACATTTGTTACTACTTTTTGAAAAAATGTAATTGATAACTTAGAAGAGAACCAGTGCCAGCAGATGTAGAACTCAATACACTGGGAGTGCCCCATTTTAAATCCTATAGAAGACATTAACTTATGTTTAGAGACAGGTGATACCTTTTTCTAAGCATATACCTTTAGTCACAATTGCTCTGGAAAGTCTCCAGAACAGTAGGATTTATCTCCATTTCTAAGTGGAGTAAAGAGTTCTTAATGAAGGACTTAAGGTTATTCATTGTAAGCCCCTGGGGATGCCAAGAGAGGAGAGGAAGGAAAATCTTGTTTTCTAATCTCAAGACTTGTCCTTATGGGGAAGTTCTTGCACAGTAAATCAAGTTAAGATTATGTTAGCACACGTGTACAAATTTATAGCATGCTAACTGCTCAACTGACTCTTTATATAGACACTAGAGTGCACTTCAAAGTGAAATAAGCTTGCACTCATAAAATAATAAGGAAATAAGGCAATGTGGTGGTGTGAGTAAGTACTGCACATCTAGATTTACTCCATGATAGCTCAGTAACATCCTTATTCAATGGTTTGGGGCGAAATGGAATTATCCCATGGTGAAATCGGGGCCACACACTGACAGCTGAATTATTCTGGTTTAGGGAATCTGCAGTTTTATTCTGCTTGAAGGGAAGTTCTTTAGTTTCCTGATCCCATTTTTCTAGTTAGTGGAACATCTGGCTGTGTGGCAACAGTGCCTCCATCAGCCTGCAAAATGGATGCTTCATTGTAGAACATAGATAGCATGGAAGGTAAAACAAAAACAAGCAAAACCAAAAAATAATGAAATAAAAGTGTTTTTAAAATAAAAGACTGTCCCTTCAAATACCTAGCAGTTACTACAGGAATTTTATTTATAGCTCTCTGTTGTCTTCTGAAAGATGGAAGGGAGTTCATGGAATAAGTATTAATTATTGTTTCTTCTTTGTACTGTAAATGTAAAATGAACTAGACGATAGTGAAATTTGACTTTCCTGAGTTGCTTTGCTGTGTTTCTCTAAGTTGTTTGTGTCTTTGCCCTTAATAAAAAACTCTTTGTCAGACAAAAGATCAAGGCCATCAATTTTCAGTGCTGAAACTGAAAAGCATCCCACAACAATGTCTTACAGGTTATAATGTTCACAGGAAGAGGTTGTGAATCGGAGAGGGCTGAGTGGGTGGAGAGAACAGCGTGTTCCCAAAGAAGCACGCTTTGCACAGCTGAAGCATTGTGAACCTTAGCCATAACATAACGATTGAACCAGGTTTCATTCTTTCTTCAAACTTCTTAATGCTTGCTGCATAATATGTAAGACTGAACTTGGGAAAATGATGAAAGGTGCTAAGGTCTGGTTTTTATTATTGAACTTACCTTGGTATAAACTGAAATAACACCTTTTGTATCAAAAGAATTACATTTGACTTGGTTAAATGAGGTTCTAGTCTTGTATCTACTTTCCCTTTTTCTTCTTTTTCTCAGTGGCAGGAGCAATGAAATGAATTTGCTACAATGAAAACCTGTATAGAGGGCAAGAGATAGCTAATATTACATAGAGTCAGAAGGACCACACTATTGGTATAATGCTAATAAATAAACTGAGTGCTGCATTAGGAAACAGCTTTTGCTACGTTGAATAAACAGAATATTTTTAGATGTAAGAAAGAAGAAAGAGCAATGAGGAATATAGAGATATAGTATGCAAGCATAACTGTATTGTGCACAGAATGCATTCTCTGCTTAAACCACAGAGTTTTTATACGTGGAATAAAATGATAACCAGTTCAGGGTCTTTGGAGTCATGTATTTAAAGATGTATTTTCAGAGCAGAAGCTTAAATTAGGTATGATTATTAAAGAAAATGTCTCCTTTTTTAAAAAACTCTGCTCGGAAGGGAGTTGGACCAACTGGGTAGCACATTTTGCAAAGATGAAAAGAACAATCCTAGCCAGTCCTTTCCCTGTCAAGGAATGTTACCTGTTAGGAGAAGTGCAGTATTCCGTCAGTCTACCATTCAAATGCCCAGCATCCACAGTGAGGAAGATTGTCCCTATGGCAAATCCAAACTCTTCTTATGCTTTTCCAGAGAGAGGCTGCATGTCCACGTGTCACGCTAACTCTCCTTGAGACTAGGTTTGCTCCTAAGAGCCTTAGTGAAGATGAAGGCAAAAACATGCTGCTTATGATTGATTTAAGTCTTTGACATTGGTAAAGTGCAGAAAACCTTACTGGTATGTCATCTTGAGCAATGATTTTTTAGCCTGGGGTTTGCAGCATGTAACTAGGAGCCTGCAGAAGGTAGAACTTAAGGCAGAGTTTAAGGCAGAGCTTGCACTGTCAGGCTGGGCACTGCCCTCCACAGGCCTCATCCCAGGATGTGCACTCCGTCATACCTGACCAGATGTGCACTCCATCGTACCTCCCCAGGGCACAGAAGGACAGAAGTCCTTCAGTGTGCTGCTCCATTCTGGTCCTTGAGGCATCCTCTTTAAGTGACACACTGTGATGTCCATGTGGCTCCTTCCTTCCTCACATGCCTCCGTTTCCTTTGGAAGGAAACTGGGATGCTGGAGGGGACAGTGAGCAGCCTGGCTCACATCTTGATTGGGAGCCTGGATCAGTGCGTATGACATGCTGCAGATCACTTTGGGTCCTCAGTTTGGACTCCTTCTGACGTAGACAAACCTATGATCAGCTGAATTAAATTCACAGTATAGGGATCTGCACTTCGACTGGGAAAATGCATAGGGGTTTGCACAGCAGAAGAAAGCGGGAATTAGCGGGCAAGAGTGATGGAACAGTTTAGACCTGCACTGTCCCAAAGCACAGGCAGTAAGTTGCAGGAAGCAGCCTGTGCAGGTAAAGTGAACTTTGTAACTCATTACCATGCAACAGAAGGGCCAAGGAGACCAGTGACCTCCCTAATTTTTTGAGCTGTATTCTGGGTTCTGTCATGAGTCAAAGGACAAGGTAGACACTGAAAGGAGAAAGCAACGCTGCTGTGCTCTTCTGTTTCCAGCTGTGTGGCTCAAGGAGCAGCTGCACTGACAGCGCTGAACACTGAATATGCCATTGCTCAACCCCTTTCCCACAACATGACACAGAGGAGCATGAATCACACCAAATAATGCTAGTTAAGGAAGCTCCTCAGTCATCCACAGTTAGTCTACATCAGCCTCAGGGCCTGGGTTGCAGGGCTGTGTTCAAGCTATGGGGCAGAAGTGATGTGCAGTGTGCCCTGCAGTCTCTTCTCTGTGTCACCAAATGCACTATGGCCCTTTCTACCTCCGTAGTCTGCATTTTCTTCCAGCAGGAGCCAGAGTGCAGCGCAGGATGTTGTACACCTGGGCATGCAGTTGGAGCCACAACCGGGTGTGCGTTCACAGCCAGGACTGGGAAGCTCTCCCAGCTCTTACATTTCAGACAGTCTATACATGTTCCAAATGGAGTTGAAGAACCCTCTGATGTACGATACTGTGCTGATAGAGCTATCACCATGTACTGTGTGTGGTCTGATTTCAACTCCTCCGACTGCTTTCTGACAGCTAAAACATGTTTGAGAATTGCAGCAAATGGCAAGGATGGGTTTTTCTTTGATCATGAAGCTAGTTACGTTAAAAGTGATCCCATGCCAAACTCACTGTATGTAATGCAAGATTTTTCTCAGGAAGTATTTTGGAAGAAAATATTGTTGTTGTTGTTGTTGTTGTTAATTGCCTGAATAATTAACTTACATGCTAGTGATTTAGCATTTGACATTTGGAAAATCTAATTTGTTACACCAGGGAACCAAAACAAAGCCGAGGCACAAGTATGTAACTTGTACTGTGTATCTGGATAGTGTGGATTATTTTGAGAATATAAAGAAAAGCCTTTCAATGAGTACCTAATGAAGGAATAAATAGATACCCGTTAAAGTGGCATGTGCCTACCTAATGAATAACCCAGATTATTAAATGCCCAATGTCTTTAAGAATGGAAAAATATGTTATACATCAGTTAGAGCTAAATGGAGCCTGTCATTAGAGGGGCTGGATTCCACAGCGGTTTCACACCTCTTCTTTCTGTTTCCTTTTTAACTTCTATATATTGAACTGCCACAGTTGGTTTCTAACATTAATTGTTGTAGTTGGATTCTTGACTGAGGAAGCATTCATCTAAAATGAATAATTTGGAAAAAATCTTACATTCTGTGTACACTAGGTATGCTCACTGCAGCAAATTGTGGTAGAAACAGGTGTTGCAGCACGTGAGGGTGCCCTGATTTTAATACTGCATGCTGCATTGTCCTGCCTATTGTGCTGTTCAGAGAGGGAGGGATGGACTCCGGGGTGGTTTTAGCATTAGGCTAGGAGGCAAGAATCTAGGTTCATGTTCCCTACTCTGCAGCAGATGGCCCTGATGTTGAGCAAGGCTTCTATGCTGTCTGTACCTCAATGCTCTGTAGGTGGGTTGTTCTGAGGACGTTTCAGATGTCAGTTAATTGGTACTGGCTAGATGTGATGTTTTTGCTGGAAAATACTTCCTGTGGAATTTCCATATTCTGTTGGAAAGGACAAGGAAGTTTTCTGGAATGTTTATTTCCTTCTCAGAGTGCAAGTGAAGACCAAATTATTTGCTTGATTTCATCAAGCTGAGCTGTGGCATAGTCTTCAGGAATGCAGTGAATTACCGCAGAGCCTAACTGCCTTTCAGAGAGGGTGGTGGCGAGGCAGGCAGTGTAGTGCATTGCATTTCTAATTATGGTATCTGCATCCTCTGTTAGATACTGCCATTCAATTAAGACTAGACTTTTTTATCCCCTAATAATGGAATAACTCATTCTTACTGTTAAAGCACAGTATAATATTTAAAGCAGATCACTTGAACAAAGTCACCGTGTCCCTCTCACTCTTTCTCAGCCACATTTAACATACACAACATTTCTTCCTCTGTATTTTTACTGATAGCCAAACGCTTAGCGATGTACCAAGAACCTGATTCTGAGGAAGACGAGGCAGCCCCAAAAGGAGGAACTCTATCCCAGCGTGATAGTATCTGCAGCCATCAGAGCATCAAAGTAATCCACAGAAGCCAGAGCACCAAAACCCACCGGCGCACAGGTAGCAGAGCTGAAGCAAAAAGAGCAAGCATACTCTCAAAGCACACTGCATTCAGTAGCCCAATGGTAAGACATGAGAACTAAATGCACAGTGTCCTGTATCTTTTAACAGAACAATGTTCTGAAAAGGGAAATGGAAGGAAATCTATAGCACATTGTGAAGTCTTGAAGACTTCATCTTGGCATTTTTTCTTCTGTATTCACAGCTGTTTGTACAAAACAATCAAGTGTTGGCATAGATCTTATCTAAATACCTTCTCTGTGGGAACAAGCTAAAGATGAAGACAGTCTGAAACCTTTGTTTTAGTTACACCTTGATTTTGAAAAGAAAGTGTATGCCTTCCCTTTATCTACGGAAGCTGAGAGTAGTATAAGATTTGAGATCAAGGATTCTAATTGCTCTGCATATGCCTCTTCTTTTCTCTTTTGTCAGAGGATTTTAAAACTAACAAGTACTGGGCTGGACACCATGTATTCCAGTTCTTAGACACTGTTGACATACACTGTAGCATAATTTTTAGTGTGATTCATGGTTATCAGTGGATTACATGTGTTGTGTTTTTTAAAAAATAAAATCCTTTACGTTTCAAAATGTTGGTGAATTTATGTCCTTACAACTTTGCTTTGTTTAATTTATTTTATACTATTGTAATTCCATGGAAGTTTTACATGAGCTGAATGATAATAAGGGAGCAGAGAAGCCAAGTCTTGTCTATCTAGGGATTTTGCATTGTTGCACTGTTGACACAAATTCACCCATAAAACAAATTACAAATATAGACGCAGAAGGATGCTGTTTGTGCTGGTAGGACTTCTTGATTTCAGTCAAGAGTAAGCTCTTTTGGTACAATTCCAAGCTGCAGTTTTTACACACGGGGTTCTGTGGTTGCTCAGATTCATCAGCTGCTGAGCATCAGCAGATAAAATTCTACTGAAGAAAGAGCCTTAGATCAGTTTATCCTTTAATCTTTTGTATCCTTGCATCCTCCTATCTTAAGAAATACCAGAGTTTGCACTGACAAGAAATAGATTAAATAAATGGAAAGTACTGATGAAACGGAGTAGAAAGTGCTCTGTGTTTCAATGTAAAAAAAAAAAAACCCACAAAAATGTGTGGATGGTTGTTGTTCTGTAACAAAAAATCCAAGATGGTTTCAGTTTATAGTGCTAATGTAAGGCCAAGCGTTGAATGTCATTGCTGTCTAATTTTTCCACTCTTTCTGGTCTCTGTAGTGTACCAGCCTTTGGTAATAGATAGTAAATGTCTTGAATTAGGCAGGAGAGAAGGAGCAATATTAGTATGTACCTCTTCTCCTATCCACTACTGCCAAAGTAGGCGAATATTGCTGCTATAATTAACTGTAGTGAAGAAGTTGATAACACAGTTACTCACATTTCTGTTTCTATCAGTAGGCTCGTTGTTAACTGTTTATTGTCTAGAACAGGTGTCTTACAGTCCTCTCCACCTCCACTCTGGTGGTGTAAGGCCACCATAAAACTCTTTATATTGACACTGCTTTGGATGCTTTGATTGCTTGTTGCTGCTTTGGAAATTTGCAGAATCACAGATATTAATAGCTGGTATTTGTTACTAGGAGAAGGACATCACACCTGACCCGAGCTTGTTAGAAAAGGTGAATGAATGTGCAAAGCATCTGGAGGTCATGAGGAGCCATGAACAGCCATTATCCCATCTGAGTCCAGAATTATGTGACATTTTTGACTTCTTCATCGCTTTGACTATATGTAATACAGTTGTGGTTACTGCACCAAATCAGCCCCGACAGAAGGTGAGTTAAAGAAACAGCAAAAGAGTTTAGGCCTCTTTTGCATTGATACTACTTTATCTCATTAATTGGGGAAATTAAAACTTCCTGTTCTAATGAGAAACAACTAAAAGTACATATGGATTAAGTTAAGGAAAGGATGAGACATTTTTTGAAAGTTTAAAAAGAGAATATACTGGAAAAACATCACTTAAAACTTTGAAATTATGTAAAAGATGCATCTTAAGTTCATTACGAGAAATAATGCTCATTACTGCTTGAACCGGCCTGAACTAGTGTCATTGATGAATGAGAATTTCAAAAATGCAATCCCAAGATGATCTTTAAGACAAAAATATAATGGAATGTAGTATTAAAGCTAGCCAGCAGCTGGAATTTCCATTCTGGAGAAAATTCTGCAATTTGTTTCTGTTCCAGACTGGAATAAAAAGTGAAGTCGTCTGCAGTGGTTTAGTGCCAGGGAAACATTTGGAGAATGCTCAATTCTGCTGTTTCAGGAACTACACTGTTATACAATAATTGAATATATATTACTATGAATGTGCTATTACTATTAATAACATTGTATCTGTAAAAAAGATAAACTAGATGAATGACAAAACTGAAGCAAAATGCTTGGATGCTGAAAGAGAAGACAGTGGAAATCATTTATTTCTACATGTTCCTATGGAGAATGTTGTCGACATTGGCATATTCTCGTAAAACTTTTCTGATGCTACACTTCTCGATGGAAAACTATTGCATCAACTTTTTTTCACTGCCTTCACTGAATATGCACAGAGAATGCCAATGTTTCCTGCCAATGGTAGCTTTTAGTATGCACTGCTGGTGGTGGTGCAACATCGATAGCCTATCCATTAGTCATATCCAAGGAGGTGAAAGAAGAAAAAATGTTTTTAATAGAAACATACATGCTTTCACACACAGGTACAATTCTGAAGTTCTAGTAAGTTTTTTTGCTGTTGAGTCAGTTTTGTCCATTTGCTTTCTCAGAATACAAATACCATTTCTTTTTGCTCTCAAAGCAATTCTCTTTTGTTGGAGCTGCTTAGACTGAATATCAGTGTCAGAATTCTTGTACAGCTTTTCTTTGGGTTTTGTTCATTGGTTTGCTTTTTATTTCTCAAGGTTAGAGATCGATTTGAACTAAAATCTCCAGTAAAAACCATAGAAGACTTCATACGAAGATTCACTCCAAGTCGCCTGACCTCTGGATCTAACAGCAGCAGTTCATCTAGTCTAGCTACAAGCAAATCAATGCACAGATTTGGTTTAAGTGTGCTTTCATCTACATCTACGGATAGCGCTTTATTAAAACTGGAAGAGAAGCTGGCGTACTCTGCGCAGATGAATAATAATGGCTACAGCTCCCAGCAAGGCCGGGCGGCTGTGGGGAGTGGACCTGAGGAAGGAGAACTCCGTTACGAAGCAGAGAGTCCAGATGAAGCTGCTCTCGTTTATGCAGCAAGGGCATATAACTGTTCTCTGGTTGGAAGGCTGTCTGACCAGGTATCAGTGGAGCTACCTCACCTGGGAACATTAAGCTTTGAAGTATTACATACATTGGGCTTTGATTCAGTCAGGAAGAGGATGTCAGTAGTGGTCAGACATCCTCTCACAGATGAAATAAATGTTTACACTAAAGGAGCAGATTCAGTTATTATGGATCTTCTTCCACCGTGCTCTTCAGGTACACCTCTTACATATCTTTGGGGGGGTGGGGGGAGGCAGTTCTGCTTAACTGCTGAAAAAATCGTTGTATCTTACTGCCTTCTCTAGCAAGTAGACCTGCCTGGTTTTATTGTGAATATAGGGAATGGTAGAATGGCAACCATCTCTCTTCTTTTATAATGCTTTGCTATTATAGCAAAATTTTTGTGACAAATTACTGGTTCCTTACAAGAATGAGTGAAATTAATTTCTGTACCAGATCGTCTACTTGCAAACTTTATTTTGAAGGAATTTCTTGAAACTCTGCTAAAGAAATTTACATTTCTTCAGGAGAAGTGGCCTGGCAGTACTTGGCTATTTGAGTGTTTTATATGAAACTCAGACACTTCCCATTGAAACTCCTCTCTCTGTTTCATTTGTGAATCTTTACGTCCTTTTGCTGCTATATGTTTGCATATATCAATGCATTTATGTTGGTTGACTATGATGCTAAAGGGCACTGTGAATCAATCAGCCATCAAAACAGAAAGGTTGTGGCAAAAGGAGAGATGCTGTTCAGACAAGAAATCTTGGTTTCAGATATGTAGTTGACTGGCAGGGAATAGACATGTAGCTGTGAACATGGAGTACTTCCCTAAAGCGTGGAGTACTTCTCCAGCACCCGGATGTCACATGAAACAGGGACAACTTTAAATAGCTGGTAATTGTAGTCAGTTGAATTCAAGAAAAACCTTGTAAGCTTTCAAAAGTTAGAGGAGACACACAGGTTTCAGTTTGCATGAACCAGTTTGCATCTAATTGACTGTATTTTCAACACTGAATTTAATCCAGTGTTTAAATGTTACCCCAGTATGAATGGACAAAGCCTGACAGTGCTTGAGGTACTTCCCATGTTTCACTAGTGCATTGACTTTGTGGTTAGTTTGACATCAGCTGGAGTAAACAATCGTGAAAGGCTTATACTGTGTAATTTTAGTTTAATGAAATACAGAAAATCATTGGCATTAGTTTTCTGTTTACAGCCATATAAATCAAAGCTGAGCCAAAAAAAAATTAAGAACAACTTGTCCTTAACCAACAACAAAGTATTCATTAATATTTTTCTGGTAAAGATCTGATATCACAGAAGATACATAGAGCATCTGTGGAAACTTGTTTCCCTCCAAAGTACTAACAAAGAATTTGTAGTACTGAGAATTCCTAATAACATACTTAGAAAATAATGTTTGGAAATGAGTTCTCAGAATGAGAACTGAGCATTAAAAATTAAAAATTGGTTTATGCCAAGTCTTAAGTATTTTGTCACCATATAGCAGACTATGTTTGAAGCTGCTGTGTCCGTTCAAAGTAAACTCAATGATCAAGGAATTTTTAGGCAAGTTTCAGGCAGATCTAGGACCCGTCTAGATAAAAACAACAAGGCTGGTTAGAAAAACAAACAACGGCAACATTACCGAAGGTGGTGTGTCAGAGAAGGTGAAGTAGAGTTCCTAAAGATCAATGTTGGCAGTGAACAGATTCTGTATCTGGGCAAATACAGCAATTCCACCATCTTTACAGGCAAGTGAATTGAAGGTGGCTTTGAAATTGTGCCTTTTTTTTTTAGTTTTGTAGCCCAAATTGAACTGAGTTTAAGTATATTTTGCTTTTGCAAGCAATGCAAAGTGCAGCCACTAGAACCTCATAAGCAGTTTCCCTTGTTTTCTAGCCCTCTAAGCCACTGCTGGCTTCAGTAATTCTGTATATTTCAGCTGATCTGTCTGAAAAACGTTTGACAATTCTCTTGGACAGCTTCACTCAGGGAACTAAATTCACAGTCTCTGCCTGCAGTACCCTAATGTCAGTGGGTATGTTGTCAATTCCTGAGGGAACAGCATCTTTTTCCCTTTTCAGGGAGGTATTCCCCAGCTAGAGGGAGCCTCAGAAGATTTATGCTGTGGCTATTATCCATAGTGCAAGATCTGTCAGTGGTTTCATCCTGTTCCCTGGTGATGGTGGAACGTGAGTGTGAGAGATGTAATGCTACAAGAATTCAGGCATTTATCGTTTCAAGGACTTGACCAATAAGTGAATCGACATGACATCTAATCCCAGTGCTCGCTCTTTGCTGTCTTAGTGTCTCAGGGACATATAAATTGTACACCAGTCAAGTGTGCACCTTGAGACTTTGTGGTACTTGTGCCCTTAGACTGAAGGACAAAGGCAACACTGTTTCCATAATCACCCAACTCAAACATCATGTGGCATGACTGGGTCCTATCAGACACAAAGGTCCCTGTTTGGGAGGAAGAGTATTTTAAAATATGACATGAGGAACTGCCCAAAATCAAGCAACAGCATTATGTGGTAGCTTCAGTTGTGTCTTATAAAAAATCAGACATTGCCATAAGCTTCAAAACTTAAAAAGTTTCTGAATTGACTCCATTTGCTCTGCCTGTGTATCTACTTGAGACTCTGAAACATGACATTTTCTGATAGCATATAGATATTTCCAAAAGCCTTGAAATGATTCCCAAGAGTGTATTGTTTTTACTTTATCTCAACAGTCACTATGTTCATAAATAAGAAAGTTACTGTTTGAGTCAATATCCAACTCGTACAGGAACCGTGAACATAAGTCATTTAGAAAACAATGACTAGGCTGACTTTCTGCAGCTTGTGATCATGGAAGGCAGTGAACCAAGCAGAACGCCACTAGCTCTCTATCATTCTTCTGGAGAAGACTTATTTGCTGTTTTTTGCTGACATGGTGCATGTGGTCACAGTGCTCAGCGTAGCCACTGCATACCAGCTAAAAAGAATCTCCACAACTGGGTTTTGTCTGCAAGAGATTCCTTTTCCCCCTTCTGACTTCTGAGCATGAGATGAATCTCAGGGTAGGACTGATGAGGCACTTGAAGAGCTAGAAGGAGATTTAGCTGTCATTGCTATGCTGATAGAGGAGGGAGATGAGGTCTTCTACACTGGCATTGAGAATTCACAGAGAAAATGGTGTACACATCTCTACTTGTAGAGGATTACTGTCTTTGTTCATTGAAAGGGATTTGAGCGTTGACATTATGATCACTGCATTAGTGCCCAAGGTATTCAGACAGATCTGAAGTGATTAACACCACTTGACCTTAAAGGGTTAGAAACAACTTTGTTTGTGATTAAGCACCTATTCAAGTTCGCACCATTTGAAATCAGTGAGTGACTGAAATAGTCACTTATGTAAGACAATTTCATGTGGGATATGCAACAAATACAGCATTTCTCTCTAGAATAGTAATGTATCACAATAAATTAGGAAGAATGCTTGCCTACTTTATTCTTCTGAAGTTAAAAAAGCTGACTCACTAATACAAGAAGCCTCCAAGGTTTGCTGCAGTACTTCTCCCAGAAAAAAAAAAAAAATTCTTATATCACACAGCCAAGTCACATATGCCAAAAAGATTATCATGTACAAATAGAAAATAAGCTACATGAAACTGTATTAGGCTGTCACTTCAGTATATGTGTATTTCCACTGTATGTTGCAGCTGAATCTAGTTGTGAGCTGTTTTAACAGCTTCTGAAGGAACCTGATGGGGTGTGTGTCAAAGCCACAAGCTATAGTGTAAGAAAGGGCTTTCAAATTGCAAATAATATTTGTAGGGATGTTCTTCTAGAATAATGTATCTGTATCGTCCCTTCGAGAAAATCAATAGTGATAGCATAGGTAGCATTAATAGACAGATGGGCAGGCCCACCAGAATATTCTTACCACTATTCACCACATGACCTTAATGAGAGATGGAACTGAAATGAAAGTATGCGTGAAATACCACAGTCTTCATGGAGTCCCTTAGGAACAGCTGGGTGTGTACACTCCCAGCGTTACAGACCTAGAGAGGACAGGACAGTCTTTAAAGATGAGAAAACAGCTATACAGTGAGTAAAATGTACTGCTACATGGTTGAGATAACCGGAACAAAAAAAAGAATACTGGGATTCCAAGCTCCCTGCTCCTTCCTTCCTACAACATCAATACTTGTATGTGTTTGTGCTGGAGCCTCTGAATGCCTGGTTAGACACTGTGCTGCTGTATAAATATGAACGTGATGAATGCTGTGTAAGTTTATAGGCAGATAGACATGTATGTCTGTGGTCACACATAGCAAGATCAAATTGAGTATGAATGCACACTGGGAAAATGGGCACTGAAAAGTATAAACAGTAAGATATTTGTGTCATCTAGTTTAGATACGTGTATTAAGTGCTTAATATGAGGGTATATTGCCCGTATAGTACTCAGTATGGTCATATAGAGCCATATAGTGCTCAGTATGGTTTGTTGAGAGAGGTGAGCACATCCAATGGGGAACGGAGATCATATGTAGTAGGTCTCTTCAGGTGCTTAGAGTTGTGGTGATGAGTGGCATTCACCTGACTCTGTCACTGGTTACTGTGCAAGTACTAGTGACACAAGTATTGCATTAACAAACAGCTCCAATTACAAAATTATAATCCTGAAATTATTCTACACCCCTAAAAAACATGCAGACTTTAGGAAAAAAAAAATATTGTCTGTCATGAGGTAGTAGCAAAACCTGCCATAAGGTACCGGTCATTCTCACTCAGTGGTTCCAATCTAAAACTTTACCAGTTTGTACATTTACTTTAGTACTAACTCTGAAATTCATATTATTTAAGATGTTACTACAGTACATTGTACATGAACATGTCTTGATCCTAGATGAAAAAAAAGATGCATGTCACCTGGTTTTATCTTTTGAAGACGTCACTTCAGGTAATGAGATGGAACAAAATCTGTTACCATCATATTCATTACTCTTTTTTGATCACAGTGTGAGCACATTGAACTAATCCCAGCTAAAGGGAGAAGAGGAACAGATGATCAGTTCTGATTTTGAGTTCTTACACATCACTTTAAGTGAAGAGTAAAGCTAAGTTGAAGTGCTGCTGCTGCACTCAAGGTAGAAGCTAGCTGTGAGGTCTACACAAGTGTAAATTCCCTTCTAAATGGAATCACAGTCATAACCAGAACTTCTTACGTTGACTCAGTCCAATAGCTAGTACAGCAGTAACACAAGTACCTTCATACACTTAGATATACAAAATGGAGATGTTAAGCTTGGTGGAAAACTATTTTTAAGTAAGTGTTAGTTTTCTGCACATGAGATGTGGAGAAGCATTTGCTAGTAGCGTATTTGAAATCATACTTCTCTTTCTGATATTATTGTTTGCTGTGAAGATTATCATGATTTCTTACAGTATTCTTGCCAAACAAATACTTAAGGAGTAAGAAAAAGGAGGTCTTTTTAACATATATTTGCAATAACTTTTGAAGACAAAAGACAGAAAAGATAGAATAAAAAGACAAGATTTTTTTTTTTCTAAATGTAATGTTTTACTTGAGTTTCTCAGGAGACATCAGCAGCTCTTTAAAAGTATCAGTTATGAAGTGCCGATACAGTGAGTACTGTAGACAAGTTTTTGTTCTCTGAGGCCATTCAGTTGCTGTTATTTTTCAATCACTAATTCATTTTCTTGTTCTTATCTAGATGACCCTCGGGGCAAACATCAAAAAAAAATCCAAAGCAAAACCCAGAATTACCTTAATCTGTATGCTGTAGATGGGCTGCGGACCCTCTGTATTGCAAAAAGAGTAAGTAAATGAAGACTCCTACTTTACTTTTAAGAAGAGTCTTGACAAAGATTACTGAAGGCATTTATTAATTTACTGTTCTTGATTCGTAACTTCTTTTTCATTTTATTCTGTAAAGTATGAATGCCTCTGCATCACATTGACTGTGCCCTCACATACTCTTTTTAATAGGTTCTCAGCAAGGAAGAGTATGCCTGTTGGTTAAAAAGTCATTTAGAAGCAGAATCCTCTATTGAAAATCGTGAAGAACTTCTGTTTCAGTCAGCACTGCGGATAGAGAAGAATCTGCATCTGCTAGGTAATGAAATGAGAGCTGGACACGAAATTAAAATGTGTTAAAAATTTTGAAAGCTTGGCTATGAAAGCCATTCTTTCCCTTAAATGGTTTCTGACAGTACAGAAATTGGCTTCTTTTGGACTTTGTCATGGCTGTCGTGTGCAGCACCACAAAGGAATGGGATATAATTAACATAACAGACATACCCTGTTTTCCTTGCTCCTGCCATCACTTTATTGCTAGTGAAATGAGTGGATGAATTTGACACAATATCATAAATGGGAACTACTGCTCTAAACAGGAGGAGGACTTGGCCCAAACTGTCTACAGAATTTCGTTAGCTTACTGCCACTTCAACATGTCAGAGACTTCCATGACTCCAGGGGCACCAGAGACACTCATAAAGCAAAGCTCATAAACTGAATTTGTGAGAGGCATCAACTCTCATATCCGTCAGGTTTGGCTCATGCACTCAGGGCCTGTGTGTTCAGTGGAAGGGGATTGCAGTACTTCATAATGATGCAGTTAAAATCAGCGTATGTAAAATGTATTCCGAGAACTAAGTCATACTCTTCCTCTGCTGAGTGGAGATGCTGAAAGCACTGAGATTCAAAAATGTATATCTATTCATTATTTCTCCAAGCATCCAACTGCTTTCTCTGGCAAAGAAACTGGGACAGCCATAACACTGTTGGAGATAACAACCTTCACTAATTGCCCACATGCCTGTCTCTCTGAGAGACGAGATCCACCTCGCCCAGCTTCTGACGCGTCTACTCTATGGCTCCCCATATAACCAATGGAGAGCCAAAAAAAAGAAAGTGCGGTTCATTTGGTCTGTCTTAGATTATCCGCTTTAGGATTAGATGAATCATGTCCTTGAAGTGTCTCTTTCCATCCTCTGAGTTAAAGGGGAGCACGAGGTGACTAATTTGGACCATATTAATCAGGAAGAGCCCACTGTGGTTGTGCCTGTTGGCGCTGTCTGTACTCAGGGCGGTGGCC